CTGAGGCTCAGAGCCAGTGGTCCTGCATAATGAAACTTAAGATAGGATCGAGGCAAATCCAAATTTCCCGTGGAAAATTCCCCAAATAAATATGCCCCTCTCCACTGTCCACAAAAAGTCACTGCCCTGGTGAACCACATTTTTTTTTTCCAGAGGACTGGATCATACTGCTCAAGTGTATTGGAATGGGAAAGTTAGCATGTGCCATTGAATGCTTCCTATGCGCCCAGGACTTGGATAGGCACTTCATGTTCTTTATCTAAAACTAATATTTGCAAAACATCCACAGTTATTGTCCTATTTCAAGTAAGAAACTAAAGCTTGGAGAAGTTAACTAGCACACCACTGGTCAACCAGCTATTAAGTGACAGAGACAAACTCTGAACAAATGCTATCAAAATCCTATGCCCAAACTCTTAGCCACCATGCTCTGTGTAGCACTCCCTGACAGAAATTAGTCTTCTAAAAGCAGTACTCGGTCAGTAATGTTGTGTGTCTGGTCTCTGCGCTCTGGACATCAGCACACTGACTGCAATAGCCAGGGTCCACTCAGTCCAACAACCAAAGGAGTTGTGAGGACAGCAAAGAAATTGAGTTGAATGGCTGAAACCATGCTGCACCATGAACACTACACGCACTAATATGTTTAGTTTAACTTAATCATTTTATATGCATGGAATATGAATCATTATTATATTAATAAAGATTATACAGGGTTCTAATGCTCATTTTCTTCTAGCTGACACTAAGTAAATGACCTTTGCGCTGGTCTGATCTATAGTTCGTTCTTTACTTACATTGTTCAAGCTCTGCTTGGCTCCTGCACATCCCACCCTGGTTTGGTTCCTAGTTCTCCCCGGTGAAGGTCATAAGCTTGAAGCAGGCCTTGATTACCATTTATAGCAGTATTTATCAAACTGCAGGTTTTGACCTTGTTACTGTGTCATACAATCAATGTAGTAAATTGCGACCAGTATTTAAAAAACAATAGCATAGGATTTAATTGAATAAAAAATATCATGATACATCACAATGTTTCACAAAACTTTTGGTTTAATTGTATTAAAACATGTAGAGGTCTGTATTTATTACATCTTTATATCACAGCCAAAAAAGGTGGAAAAATACTAAAGTACAAAAACCCCATCTCTGCATATATCCTGGTTCACACAGTCAGTTTTCTTTCAGAATATTAGAAACAGAATATTTAAAGAAGGTTCTTTCCTTTCTATTATCTTTGTAATATGCCTGTCATATTTTCTGCTTTGTTATTAAGACTCAGCCTTCTACATTCACCACTTCAGAGACATGGTCCCCTGGCTGCAGCATCTCGGTTACTTTACTGTTTTATTTTCATTTATTTTATTTTATTATTCATTTTACTACATTGATTTATGTTCTTTATTAGAGACCTGGGACACATCATATGATATTTCTTATTTCTGAAGGTATCTGTAGTATTTGGGGCATGACTTAGCTCTTGTGACAGTCACCTGTGATGCTGAGAGAATAGTGAGGGCAGCGAAGAGGAGGCAGGGAAAGATAACAGTGAGAGGAGGGGAAAGAGCAAAAGCCATGAGAAGCAACACAGCCCTGATTTCCTGTAAAAACCCTATGAGATGCTAGTCCCACATTTTACTTTCAGCTAAATATGCCTCAAATACATATTTTGGGAGTCGGAGAAATAGCCCCAGTCAGTTAGGTCCCTGAAGTCTTTTCTCACCGTTACGGAAGGTGCTAGTACTTTAACAATATGTATTACTGGCTGGCCTATGCCTGCTAATATTAAAAAGCCACTGTGATTATTCCAGAAGCCTGTTAGTGCCTCTTCATAGGCCTGAAGCCCCTTGTCATTCACAGTATACTTGATAATTTTTTTCCTTTTATCTCTCTCCAGCAAGAGCTGGAAGTAACAAATCGTGATTGTTAACTATTATTCTTAAACAAATCACATCAAGTTCTGTATGTGCTGCTCAGATATATTTTACATTATTGCAACAAATGGATAGTTCTTGTGAGAAATCTCTGTCCAAACACTGTGCCAGCTTGCTATTTATTGCTGCCACCTAATGACAGACAGAGACCAGCCCAATGAGGTCACTTGAAATGAGGTAATGGGGTTATAATTGGATGACTTTACTGCTAATCATTTCTACCCTATAATTAGTTAGGAGAGGTGTCAGAAACTTTCCTGTTTGTAGCAGACACCTTTTGGGCATAACTTTCTATCCATTCTCAGAATGGGTAGGAATGGAGGAAGGTATTCTTATCTGTTCAGACATATGAGAAAAGGAAATTCACAAGCAGGAAGAAGTCAAAAACCAGTACATAATATAAATGGTGTATACTGTTGTTTGGAGCAGAGAATTAAGACAGCAAAATAACCCTCAGATAAGTTCTTAGGTATCCTATAGTCCTGAAACATCGAACGCGTTGCTTATTCTACATCTAGTATATACCCCCAAAACATACACCTATGCAAAAACTTGCGCGCGAACATCGCAATGTTATTCATAATAGCCAAAATATTGAAGAAAACTCAAATGTCCAAACTAACAAATGGATAAATCAAATATGCTATATCCATACAATGAAATTTCAGCAATAAAAATAAATGAAGTACTAGTACATGATACAACATGAATGAACCCTGAAAACTTTATGCTAAGTGAAATAAGTCGTCACAAAAGATCACATATCGTATAATTCCACTTATATTAAGTGTCCCAGGAAAAATCTATAGAGACAGAAAGTTCGTTAGGATTGCCTAGGCTTAGGATGGGGAAGCAGATGGGCAGTGACTGCTAATGGGTACGGAGTTTCTTTCTGAGATGATGAAATGTTCCGAAGGTAGATTATGGTGGTGGTTGCACAACTTTATAAACAAACTAAGAATCAGTGATTGTACACTTTAAATGGATGAATATTATGCTGTGTAAATATTAGCTGAAAAAAAGTTGTTTTATATTTGTCTAGCTCAAAGAAAGAAGTCACTCTCTGATTTTGGTAAACACCATTTTACTGGAGCCTACTAAAAGGAAAAATTCTAACCATTTCTAAAATGAATGCTTTCCTAGAAGTTAGTTCTAAAATGGACTCTTTTCTTTTTTTTTCGGTACGCGGGTCTCTCACTGTTGTGGCCTCTCCCGTTGCGGAGCACAGGCTCCGGACGCGCAGGCCCAGCGGCCACGGCTCACGGGCCCAGCCGCTCCGCGGCATGTGGGATCTTCCCGGACCGGGGCACGAACCCGCGTCCCCTGCATCGGCAGGCGGACTCCCAACCACTGCGCCACCAGGGAAGCCCCTAAAATGGACTCTTTTTAAATGAAAAATTTTAAAGAATTTAATAGTGCAACTAAACCCCCTCTATAGAGTAAAGAATTTTTAAAGTCCAAAAGCCACTCATTTTGTCTAAAAAGAAAAATTTATGACTTCCTGACAGTGTATATTGTTATCAAGTGTAGCCAAAGAAAAACAAAAATGAGCCAAATTTTCCTTTCACAGTCCCTTACTACCATACCAGTATAGAATACTTATCCCATAGAGTAGCAAAAATCCCAGTCGTATTTTGGCATTTTCTTTGCTAGTACAGTGCAGCAAAGTGGCTACTGGGGTGGGGACAGTGGGAGGTTGGGGAGCGAGAATAATAAGAGTTAGCAAGCACAAGAAAGAGATCTAAAAATCTAGTCATCACTATTAATGACGTTACCTAGAGTATCTGCATGAGATTCAGGTTACCTCAGAGCATCAAGACTCCACAAGGAACACACAAGTGTTGATTTTTCGGCACCTTCTCCTAGACTGATGTCTTCTCCCCACACCCCAACCCCTAAACAATGTAAACAGAATCCTGGCCAAGCAATATATAACCACTAACATAGGTTCAAAGGACCATGGGGAAGAAATTGTCTTTTAAAACCAGTCATTTATTCTCATTTTAATTCAAGTTGGCGCCCTCACATCACCCTGTGGGTTCATATTTTAAATGTGCTTTGCATATGCACAAAGAAGGTGAGAATCTATGTTGGTTGTAGAAACCTCTGGCCATCTTCATAACTCCTCAGGATGTCTTAATGGTTCTGCCCAAACAAATACTATTTAATTTTTCCTCTAACGTAACATTGTAGGTGTCAATATTTGATACTGAAAAATGTATTTCAAAATGTGTCCTCCAGGAACACACGAAAAGAAGTAACCTAAAGAAACTACTTTAGGCCCACAGTTAACAAAAAGCTAAATATTGAACATGTCATGAGAACACTGTAGAAATGAAAAACAGGAAATCCAAACTTTGTTACCAGTCTTGCCATTAATTATTAGTGGATGACCTAAGTTATCAATATATATTCTTTTGGAACCTCACTTCTTCATCTGTAAAACAAGACACCTGGACTAGAGGTTCCTTCAGATACAAAATTTTCTTGACACCTTTTCAGACTTTTTCTCCATCTTACTCTTTCCCTATTCTCCTCACTTGCTTTTTTCCTTTCACCCTCTGTAGGTGGCCTTTATCTACAAGGATATATGGTGAATGAGCAGACCCTTAGCTTCAAGCAATCAGTAATTGAACTCAAACCTCCATCTGAAGAATTCAAGACTTTCTATTTCTGTGCCGAAAATAAGACAGAAAACCAACGGTAAGTCAAGGTCTACGTATTTCTTCTTTTTTATCAGTCCTGACAGGAGCCTTCTAAGCAAACCCTTATCCTTATTTTCCAACTTCAACTCCACATCTTCAATTAAATATCTCCCTTTCTTTGCATAGTCCCTGTAGTTAATATTCCCCAGGATTTTTTTTTCTTTCAACGCATAGAAGATGACTCTTCTAGAAGTATTTTTTTTCAAATGAAAATGGAGTCCATAGTTCTTCCCAAGGTAGTGGCTGACTCAGGTTTCAACATAAAAAATCCACTAACACTGTAACCCGTAAACATTGTAATTTATTAATTCACAGGTTTGTTGTTTCACCACCTTTCACATAACTCTTATTGATATGTCCATCTGGTCAGTTGTTTGGTTTTGTTATAAGCCATCAAAGGGCACAGGACTCATCCATCTAAATTGTATGTTTAGTATCCAACTTGGCATGTACAATTGGGTACTGGTTTCATAAAGATTCTGAGAAAAACCCAGCAATAAAGTTAACAGAGACAAAACCATGAAACAGAGGAAGTACCTAGAGTATCCTCCTTCATCTCTCAAGTCTCCCTGACGTAACTCCAATCCCCAGGACATCCAATGTCCTACATCTCCCATTCCTACGCTCAACTGCTTGGTGACCATCCAGACACTTTCTTCCAACTATCTGGATAAAAAGGATCTAATAAAGAAATTTACAGTGATTTCTTAAAACAAAGGACATGGTAAAGCTTCCAGGGCCATTTGCACGAATCAAATTCACTGTTTCAACCCAAAGAAATAAAACTCCAAAAGTAGAATTTCAGTAATCTCCAGCAAGTGACCATTTGGAGAAGGGAAAAGGATTTCCTAGGCCTTCCCTCGTTATGTAACCTTCCTTGCTCCACTCACTCCTAAGCATGGGCTAGAGTGGGAGGATAATGAATATAGAATTGCTAGATACTTGCCAGGATCTTCTTCCTCAGACTGTGCTGTATAATCTGGTGGCAGATAAAGATGGTCCCTTGAAGGTGAGGCTCCAGCCTTCTATTATTGTAGAAAAGGGGTCACTGAAAGAGAGTTAACTCCTATCAGATAAAATTTACTGGCTTCTCTAAGAGAGGAAGTTGAATAGTTGGATCTCACTGCCAAATCCATGAGTGGATACTATCAAGAGGAAACAATATTAAGTCATTAGAGAAATATTTAAAAGAGCAAGAGTTTCACAAATTGTGGTTTATGGAACTCTGGTTCCACAAGATAGCCCACTCCCCAAAAGTAGTGAAATAAGTTTAGGAAATGATACAAATCATATTCCCCTCTCAGAGAATCACAAAGTATATTAACTCAATGTTTCTGAGACACATTGCTGGAAGGAACCCTGGTTAACTCCCCTTAACTCCCACTACCTAAGCTTATCTGACCTAAACTACTTTAAAAAAATAACACCTATTAACCACCCTTAGAATAAACATCATATGGGCACATTTTATAAAACATCATCCAAGAAAATGAAAGGAACAGAGAGGAAGAGAGAGGAGAGTTAACTGGAGTGTTTGCTGTGGTTTCAAGAACATGACAAAGAAGTATTTGGTCCTAATGGCAATATTTGATTACTATACATTTGATCAACTAAACTTTAAATAGAAACAGAAAATACTAGTAATAATTTTTAAATCCTATAACTGCGTTAATCACTATTTACTAACAGTGTACCCTCTCCTGGCCCTATTATTTACATTAACATGGATTTAAATCATAGCTACCACTGCATATTTCTCTTTCGGTGTTCTACCTTTTTGTTCAATCCAAAACCTAAGGATCATGGCTTACTATATTAATTTTGAACTAAATAACAAAGAGAAACATTTACAAGATAAATTAAAAGATTTTGTAACATTTCACCTCCCTAGAGTCCAACAATTTTTTAATGACCTGTCCTGTGCTGTTATCTCTGCAGCTGGATTACAGCTCTGAAAATGTCTATCCAAAAATGGCTTCCTTTGCATCAGGCTATTCAAGACTTCATGAATCGACCTCTAGAGGAGACCAGAATGTGACTGAAATCCTAATCTTAAGAGAAAGGATCCACAAAATCACCACCAGCTAGTTGTGGGAAGAAACAAAAACATTTATCACTATATAGCTTTTCAAATGAATGTTCCTCCAATATATTAAAATTTTGTGATAAGATTATAATTTTGATTCTGAACCAAAACACCAAAATCTCATGTGACACTCAAATAACTTATATCAACATCATTAAGACCTCTATATTTTTTCCCCCATGGGCTGTACATGTTAGCATCAAAATATAGTATGCCCCATATCCCTGGCTTTTTGAAAGGATATAATACAAGAAAAGTTAATTTATTTTATTCTTTCTTTTATATTCTTTGCTAAATGTTTCACTCTGTTCTTTGGCTGTAGGTTTCCTAGAATGTCTCTAGGTCATGATGTGGGAAGCTGATATTTGGGAAATTTAAGATCATGGAAATTAAGTGGCTTAAATGATGAGTAAATAATTCAGCTAAACAAAGGTCATCTTAAAATCAACTGGCCCAAGTGCCTCCCAAAACTTCCCAGATGAAAGAAAATAATAACAATTATTGTTATAAAAATAAAATAAGGAAATAATTAGACTGAATTTAGGGGAGAAAACTCAGAGGCATGGGTCTTATTATCACCTGAATTATTGTCTAAGTATCTATCACACTGAAAAGGGAAAACAAAAAAATCAAGAATGTTCTGTTCTTAATCCTGAAAGTAAAATTCAGAGAAATTCAAAAGTGAATTCCAAGCATTGACTTCACTTCTCAGTGGAACAATCCCAATGTGTATCCAAGACGTTGTGATGCACTCAGAAGTCCCATGCCGTCACTAATGGAACATGGAACACAGCTTTCAGAGCACAGATTCAAGTGCTCTGGATTAACTTATGACAATAATAAAAACTGGAAAATTTGTCAAAATATTTCGGAACTCACAAGGACCTTACAGCTTAACCTCTCTTCTTTGTGGCTGAGGCTCAGAGAGGTAATTGCCTCTTGAAGATCACAAAGGTTGAACTGAGCTGAAGCCTGGAGCTGAATTCAGATCTTCATCCCTCTATCCAGCATTGTTTCCACTCATCCTACAGCCCCTCATTGTGCCCAAGGATGTGGTGGGGTTTAGTAACGATAATGCAGCTACTCATTCCCCAAACTTGTTGAATACTTCTAGTCTTTCGCTGAGAACTGAAAAACATTGATTCCAGCAATAAATCATGTTTATATTTCTACAGTCTCATGGAAGGCCTTCATGTTAATTCAAATCATAGCCTTTTCCAGAGAATCTTACATAGAAAAAAGATAGAAAAATGCATGCCATTTTTCCTACACTCTTCACCTCCGTCCCCCACCCAAAAGACTGAACTCTTTAACTAGAAGGTTACACTTTGCAGCTGTCTTTCACCACAACTCAGATAAAGGAGGCTTGTGAGTGTGTAAGCATGTGCAACTTAGTTCCCATATTAAGAGAAGCTGCCTAAATGAACTCATGCCATAAAAGGCATGCTGTAGTACTCTGACCAACTTAATACCATAATCAAAAATATTCAATTAACAATAACAGATAGCCCTCTGTTCTGACAATGGTCCCTTTGTGCTCCAGTATTTGTCATGATAGTAATGAGGACTTTCAGCAGGGGCATTACTGATAGTAATGTTCATGTCAGAAACCTGGAGCTCACACATCTGCTCCCCAGCGGAGCACTCCGCCTTTCTGGAGCCCCATCAAAGAATGTACAAACTGTGCTGTTAGACTGCCAACAAACACATGAAAGAATGCTCAACATCATTAATCATAGAGAAATGCAAATCAAAACTACAATGAGATATCATCTCACACCAGTCAGAATGGCCATCATCAAAAAATCTAGAAACAATAAATGCTGGAGAGGGTGTGGAGAAAAGGGAACGCTCTTGCACTGTTGGTGGGAATGTGAATTGGTACAGCCACTATGGAGAACAGTATGGAGGTTCCTGAAAAAACTACAAATAGAACTTCCATATGACCCAGCAATCCCACTACTGGGCATATACCCTGAGAAAACCATAATTCAAAAAGAGTCATGTACCAAAATGTTCATTGCAGCTCTATTTATAATAGCCCAGAGATGGAAACAACCTAAGTGCCAATCATCAGATGAATGGATAAAGAAGATGTGGCACATATATACAATGGAATATTACTCAGCCATAAAAAGAAATGAAATTGAGCTATTTGTAATGAGGTGGATAGACCTAGAGTCTGTCATACAGAGTGAAGTAAGTCAGAAAGACAAATATCGTATGCTAACACATATATGTGGAATTTAAGAAAAAAAAATGTCATGAAGAACCTAGGGGTAAGACAGGAATAAAGACACAGACCTACTGGAGAACGGACTTGAGGCTATGGGGAGGGGGAAGGGTAAGCTGGGACAAAGCGAGAGAGAGGCATGGACATATATACACTATCAAACGTAAGGTAGATAGCTAGTGGGAAGCAGCCGCATAGCACAGGGATATCAGCTCAGTGTTTTATGACCGCGTGGAGGGGTGAGATAGGGAGGGTGGGAGGGAGGGAGATGCAAGAGGGAAGACATATGGGAACATATGTATAACTGATTCACTTTGTTATAAAGCAGAAACTAACACACCGTTGTAAAGCAATTATACCCCGATAAAGATGTTAAAAAAAAAAAAAAAAAACTGTGCTGTTACCAGGCAGCAGGCTAGTGACCACAGCCAACTGTAACACTGGCATGGAGCTTTCCCCGATGGAGAAAAACAAAAGTGACTACCTCAGTAAAAGGTGAATACAGTTTTTCCTGAATTAAGCACTCATGTAACTCACTTGAAAGTGAAAGGTATCAACACTCCAAGTTCAGAGCCACTCCTCAAAAACTACTGTAGTTATTCCTGGAAGGTTCTAGAGATCTAAACAATCCCAGACATATTAAATAAAAAATTTTGTGTGAGCATTTTAATGTGGAGAGGATTCTGAGCGTTTATATGATTTTTAAGGGATATATGACCCCAAAAGAACTTTTATTTCTAAGATTAAAAACATTTCCCAAGATCCACAAGATTTCCATCCCCAGTAGGAATACTAAGGAGGGAAAAGTACAGGGCCAGCCTTCTACATAAACACTATCTGACTGCACATTTTAGGGTTAGCCCACCTTTTGGCAAATCAAGGAGAGCTCCCCATGAGCCCGATAGTCAGCTAGTCAATAAATATTCATTGAGCACCTACTATGGGTGAAGCGCTAGTTGTCAGCAGTGAGCTGCTATTCGGGAGAGGCAGAAAACATTGTTCAAAGCATGCACTCTGTAGCCAGATGGCCTGAGGTCAAATTCCTACCCTGTCACTTCCTGGCTGTGACCTTGGGCATGTTACTTGAACTCTCCCTGCTTTAGTTTCCTCATCTATAAATGGAGATAATTCCAGTGTGTGTCACATGTCTATGAGAATTAAATGAACAATGTATGAAAAGCACTGTAACAGTGAGCAGCCCCAGTGAACTCTCAATATGATTATCAATATCATTAGCAAGCATTGTCAGCTAGTTATATACAGACTTCTCATCTCTGTGACAGCTTCAGAAGAAACATATCTTGTCTCCTTCACCTCACTACCTGAAGGCAGAGAGAATGGAGGAGAGTTCCCTCAAGGTTTCCTTCTTACGTGGCTTTAAAAGAGAGGACCAAATATAGTTTCAGGCGTTCTGGGTTATATGCAGCATAATATTGCCTATTTAGAACCCCAAAGACTGGCCTGCAGTTGTCAAAACTCTCTTAGCCCAACTTCTTAGTAAACTTGGAAGATTTCCCATCAGCATTCCTAGAAGCCCTAAGCTAGGCCCAAATTATTCTCAGAAGGTCCCTGCAGGGCCTAAGTCGGGCTGATCTAACTCCAATTCTTATTCAGCCTCATCTGTTGACTTAATGTGCAAACTATAAGGAAAACCCCTAGAACTGTTCTGTACTTGGGAATTACATTTAGTGAAGTTAATAAATATCAAAGAACACAATGATTATTCCCT